CAACTAACACTAGGACTTTTTGGATTTTGACCCATTGCACCAAAGTCCAACCACATTTTAGGCGCACAAAAAAGGTAAAATTGTGCACCTAGCACTTTTAGGGTGCACAAAAAAAATTGTGCACCTAGCAATTTTTAGGTGCACAAATTTGTGTGCGCCTGCATTTTTCAAAGGACAAGCCCTGGGAAAAACTGACCATGTGCATGAAGGCACGAGATCCATTTATAACTCACCTGTTGGTGGGTGGGGCAATGAGACACTCCCCCATCCATCATTGTAGGTGGTGTCAAATTACATGTATTCTGGGTGGAGCTAAAGGGACAGCCACCTACTGCATCATGACAAAGCACAAGCTTGCCTTGTCTCACCTTGTGTGCCATCCACTGCCTTTCCATCCAAAGCTGTTTTGCTTCTCTTGGACTGAGTGTCTGTATGTTGCCCTGCAGTATGTGCTGAAGCCCACCTTCACCAGCCAGCACATCGCCAGCCTGGACAAGCAGGGCAAGCTGTACAGGGCCTATGACGGCACCACCTACCTGCCCGGAATTGTGGGCCTCAACAATATAAAGGCCAATGACTATACCAATGTGGTTCTGCAGGTGGGTTACTGGCACCAAGTAAGGCTAAATAGGTGGTTTATACTCGGCATAAAAGCAGAATGAAGGCTCATTATAAATGTCATATTTGAACAGAAGCTGGTGTACTTTACCCAGGGTTTACCCAAGTTTGACCCTAATGTTACTGGCCTTTTGTCCAATTAGGATGGGCCCTCGCTTGTCCAATCATTGTACTCTATACACTGTACTTTTGACCAATCAGGCTCTTCCATCTTTCTCACGCCCTTTTCCCAAGGCATTGTCTAATGTGCCCCCACTGCGGAACTACTTCCTGGAGGAGGAGAACTACCGGGGAATCCGGCGGCCGCCGGGCGACATCATGTTCCTGCTGGTGCAGCGATTCGGCGAGCTGATGCGCAAGCTGTGGAACCCACGCAACTTCAAGGCGCATGTGTCACCGCATGAGATGTTACAAGCTGTGGTGCTGTGCAGCAAGAAGACCTTTCAGATCACCAAGCAGGGTGAGACTGGTGCTCGAGAGACGTGTGGTCAGATGTAGCGGGATGGGAGTAACGACAGGGTCATTCCATTTTTCCCCAGACATGATCTGAATGCGTGAACATAAGGGATCATAAAAAGGGCATCACTTGGTAACTGTAATCAGCCTCCCCCTGCACAAAATGGAAAGGTTGTCTGGGTCGGGTGAAGTATTGGGGGCTGGGAACCTGTATGTTAGATGGTGGGTTTCTGAAATGTGCTGTTTTTTTTTTTTGGTCCCTTATTGGTGCTTAAATGTTATTAACTTAAACTTCAGGATGGTGCTTATCTTATATTGGATAAAATAAGCAGAGATGCCTGTATTTGCCACTGCAATCATGTGACAGATTCCCATAACACCTTGCTCCATGCAAAATCGTGTGATCACTATAAGGGCTTATGGAAAAATTAGGGTTGTGGGCAGGCCACTCAAAACCTACCCCCAAGGTATTACATTCATTATTTTCAAAATACTTTATAAGATCAAGCTTTTCCTCAGGTGTGAAAGGATAACATCTGAAATATCTCCAGAATGCATCTTAGATTCTTAATTCATTCATGGCAATGGAGAAGATTTTGTGAAAATCACTGCTTCAAAAAAAAAAAAAAAAGGTGTGTCCCTTTTGTGAACCTTGCATATTGAGGTGTTACTTCACTACGCAAAGCGTAAAGGTCAGGGATTAAGTCCTGTATAAGCCAACTTGACATCTGTGTTATGCAGAGATGTTTACTATTTACCCAATGTATCAGCCAATTTGTGGTTTGGAAACTTTCATAATATTAGAATGGTCCTGCAGGGGATGCTGTGGACTTCCTGTCCTGGTTCCTGAATGCCTTACATGGGGCTCTGGGCGGCACCAAGAAGAAGTCCTGTGAGTATTTATTTTGGAGGGGGTGGAGTTTTGGTTTCTAACTGAGGTGGATATTGTTGGTAAATTATGAAAAAGGCCTATCGTTGATCTGTACAGAAACAAAACAAACAAAGGAAGCACTTCTTGATTGGCTTCTAGCCTCACTGGTGGTGCATGCAGAGGTTGAGCCACTGAGTTGGTACTTTGAGACTCAACTATCAGTCAAGATTGATACATCAGACTGAGGCTGATATCTTGATTCCATCTGTCTATTGTTTATTTATGACGATCGGCCTATACCGGTATGTTAACCAATACATCGTACATCTTTAAAGCTAACATTATTTTATGCCTGACTAGATAGTTAGCTACTTCAGTCCTGAGCATTGCTACCGTGACTGGCAAAAAGGACATTTATTTTCAGCTACAAAATAGGGGTGGGTTTCCCAAAAGTGGTGTTGTGCACAGATCGTTACTGTAGTGCAATGGTCATCAAGTAGCACTTCCTTTATGAATATTAAATGTTTTCCCTCTGTTTTGGAAATTTGCATGCCAGCACGGCTGCTTTGTGTGTCTGCCTGCAGTACATGAGTGAAAGGGTGTACAACTCAAAAGCAGGAATTTTGCCCCCAAATCGATTGTAACAGATTCTGATGTTATTGTTGCAGTTGATCACTACCTTAATTAATAATCAATTCATCACAATGCACCTCGTTTCCAAGTTCTCTGTCGTGACTTTTTGGCTTTGTCTGATCTGCTTTGTATCCTGCGTGGAAATCTCTCGTCTTACGGAATGATGCTCTGTTGCTGTTGCTCTGGCAGCAATCGTCACCAAGGTGTTTCAGGGCTCCATGCGCATCTTCTCAAAGAAGCTGCCCCACCCAGACTTGGTGAGTAGACATGAGCTTGTTGCCATTGGCATGTAAACAGCAAAAAGCATGTTTCACTAATGCAATTGTATTTCCATAATGAGTTGCATGAAGTAAGACAATGTCATACTGCTTGGTCCAGAGGAATGCTTGAATTGTTACAAGTGGTTTTTATTATGCATCATTATTTACTTTATTTGTCTCGTGAACCAGTGGGAAAATATTTCTGTGGCTCATTGATATGGAAAACTTGAAAAGATATTTTGAGAAAGTGAACATTCAGCTGTACTGTGCATGATAATAGTAGCGCACTGTCAATCTATCATACCAATAAGCCGTATATATCCCTTCCCCCCCCTCTCCAGCCAGTGGAGGAAAAGGAGGCTCTGCTCATCAGGGAGGAGTACCAGGAGAAGATGTCCGAGTCGCCCTTCCTGTACCTTACGCTGGACCTCCCCACTGCCCCCCTCTACAAGGATGAGAAGGAACAGCTGATCATCCCCCAGGTTCCCCTCTTCAACATCCTGGCTAAGTTCAACGGCATCATGGAGAAGGTAATCGCCCCCAACCCCCACAGCACATCATCTTTCGGCCAAACCACTTCAATCAGCTTAATGTCTCGATGGAAATTTCCCACGACCTCGTCTGATGTCGGTCTTGACTGTTCCAGACCGCTGTCTCCCCACAGCTGCTCCCTGAAAGTCTCGTAGTTGTCTTCTTTGGCTATGTATCCTGTGTCAACTCTGATCCAACTGCAGTTTTATATGGGACAGTCTCTTGGACATACTTGCCTCGAGCACTTGGCATGAAAGCAGATATACTGTAAACCTGTCTTTCCCAGGAGTACAAAACATACAAGGAAAACTTCCTTAAGAGGTTCCAGCTGACCAAACTGCCACCCTACCTCATCTTCTGCATCAAGAGATTCACCAAGAATAACTTCTTTGTGGAGAAGAACCCCACCATTGTCAACTTCCCTGTCACGTGAGTCCCCTTTACAAATAGCCACTCCAGTCTCATAAAGAGTGGGGCAACTGCTTTCCAGTCTTGGCTCAATTTCTATGTCTGGCCCTAAATATTAATGACACCTTGATTTCTGCAGCTGATATGGCTGTGACAGTGGATTTTGTGTAGTGCCGACTGACTTCATTTTGGAGAAGTCACTCTTTACCCTAATGTGGTAGCACCCCATTTCGGCCGTGGATGTTTTTTATTTTTATAAATTCTATTGAAAGTCCTCTGCTGTGAGCAGATGGCTCCTTTCACCTGCTGTTAGTCTGTTAGCTGACTCTCAATAGTTCACAGCAGCCGGTACTGATACCAGACTTGGTGGCATTTATCCAGGGAGCTCTGGTTGAAGTCTGTACCTGTCCCCCATCTCCCCAGGAACGTGGACCTGCGTGAGTACCTGACCGAAGAGGCTCAGGCCACCGCCAGGAGCACCACCTATGACCTGGTGGCCAACGTGGTGCATGATGGGAAGCCGTCCGAAGGGGCCTATAGGATTCATGTCCTGCACCATGTGAGTCACATAATGCTTAACAACAGGGAGGTAGACTTTAAAATGAATGGTTTTAGCATTACATGGGTTAATTGTGTGGCGCTATGCCCAGGAAGGTTAGTGCCCACCGCCAGGGCTGTGACTGACTGTCTGTCTGTCAGGGCACCGGGAAGTGGTACGAGCTCCAAGACCTGCAGGTGATGGACATTCTACCGCAGATGATCACACTGTCGGAGGCCTACATCCAGGTACGTGCTGCCATTTCTAACCCACCTGCAAAGCTCGTACTGGCTCAGTATGCATGATGAATGCTCATTCTAATGGACTGTGAGAAGGCCACAAGCAAGAGACCATAGTATTGTTTCCATTATTTATTGACTGGAGGGGAAAATTCATTTGCATTACAGCAGTAAGGAACAAAATGTGTAATGACAATAGTGCAAACAAGCTTGTGCAAAAACGAATTAATGGGGTATACTTCTGACACACAGCCCTACTGTGGTATTAGTTAAATGCTGTTATGGCTGGGGGGGGGGGAGAGATGTACTACCTTCTAGTACATTAGCCTATAGAGCTGCTTGTACATCATCCCAAGCTCTTCATCAAATGCCTTTTTCTTAAGATTTGGAAGATGAGAGACCCGGAGGACGACGCTGCTAACCGCACAGGGGCGTGATGCCCTCTGAAGGGAGGGGGGGGTGGGGGGAGACCTGGGACCTTCCTTTGTGAGAGGAGTGCTGAGGCAGCAGTTTGTTCCATAGGTTCCCCATCTCTCTTGCACAGGGAGCTAAACGTGTTCTCTACAGTCTTGGATTGTTTTTCTTTTTAAATTTGTATTTTTTTTTTTAATCTTGTATGCCTAAAGTGTGTAAATAAACTCATGTTTAATGTTTGCCTTCAGCTACTTTTTCTCCACTTTTTCAATCAATGACTCCCTTTCATTTTACTGATCCTACTTTAAGAAGCCCAAGCAATTTAGAGCGAGAGGGACATTTTTTTATATATAAACACACACGCCCACCCTTTGTGTTAGTTCCACAAAACAAATGGCTGAAAGAGCAGCAGGACAAACAGAGTGCCCAACTCCATCGCAGCCAGCTGTCATAGCCAGTACAGGCACAATCTACACATTTCACAAAACACCATTAAGCCATGACAACAGTTCCAAACAAAAACAGCACAAATTAGTCAGTGCAAAAGGTACCAAGTGCTCATGACCCAATCGGACGGCTTGAGGTCCAGTCGTGAAGCACACTGATGCTGCAGTCCAGTCTACTTCCAGATGTATTTCTGGCAGAATGCCACACACTGCAGGACAGGAAAGAAGCGCTTCAGACCATTTTCAGATGGGGCTCTATTCACATACAGTCACTGGTTAAAGGCCTCAAAAGATCCAACTGATCACACCCATGCATCTAAAGGCCCTTTCCCACTCCAGGAACCCAGCCCAATTGTAGTTCCCGGTCCTTTTCCCCATCTGCTGGCCAGATTTAACGATGAATATGTCATGAGCAATATTAGTATGCAAATTAAGCGCGTCCCATTTTGTCCCGTATTTTTGGACCATGTAATCGATCCCCACACTCCCAATAAATAAAACAATTAAAGGCTGATTCACACTTCTCCACACAAGCGCAATGTATGATGTTCCCACTACTCCGCTGCGTTGAAGTGCAATTTGAAAACGCACTGCTGCTATCATTTCTCTGCGCAGGACACTCAAATTCATGAGTACAACGTGTTGCGCTTTTCTTTGCGTTTGGCTTCCCTAGTGTGAACATAGCCTCAGTGGGAAAGTGCCTTAATACCTGTAAAGGTGATGTACTCACATTGCATTCCTGTGCTATTTTCTCATCTCTGCACCTGTAGTTGTTCCCCCAGGTACAGTGGTTACGCCCCAAAGGCTCCACCCTTCTTACAGTGACACACAGGTCTGCACGCTGTGGGGGTGGGGAACAGGTAGCGTCACTTAATATTTAGAGGCAATGGGTAAGTGGATCTGGAATTTTTCTGGCAAAAACACGTGTAGCAGATGAGTCTTGCAGACAGCAGCCAGGTTAAGGTGACTGCAGTTGCACACAGTGAGACATGCTTTCTACCATTTCTCACTGAAGGTCACACATAATCCAGCAATTTACCTCATTTCAGTCCAGAGTAGAATAGAGAGAATGTGGCTGAGACGTTCGCCTTACCCCACAGTTATCCAGGGTGCTCCCCTCCTTTCCCAGAACCCCCTGCAGGACTGGGCCATAGCGCTGGATGAACAGCTCACACTGAGAGCGGCAGAGGAAATTTACAGCTCTTTAGCTACCCTACAGCTTGCTTCCTTACAAAAATCGTGCTAAAGAAATTAAAGTTTTAATGATTTTTCAACTCAGCCATTACGGTCTCCCTAAAAATACGTGCAAGCACTTCAGAGTCACGCTATACAATATGCCTTATGAATTACAAGCAAAGGTAAGGAGCCACCTTAGGGACGGCCTGAGGGTACAGGAGGCAGACGGACCCAAAGAAACCAGAGGTCTCAGTCTCTGTAGCATTGGACCCGAGCTGGACCCGGGTCAGGGCCGCCAGCGTCCGACAAGTGTCACAGTCAGAGGGGATCGTCTCCACTGCAGGGCGGGATAGAGTCAAAAAGAATGACTGAGATAACAGGGCTATAGACTGACGGGTTTGATGGAAGCTGTCCAGAGCACGTATGAACCAGACATGGGAGACTGGGGTGCAGGCTGAGGTGGGAGGGGCCCTTACTTGGCAAAGGGCTCTCCTGGAACAGGCAGAGATGCAGCAAGGTGCAGATGGTATGGGGCGCGGCGTAGGACAGCAAGAACTCGACTGCGTCTTTTCCATACTTGTTGACAAAGTTGTCACACTCATCCTTATAACTGGAAGGCAGGAGGTCACACACCTCGTCCATAACCTTCACCACAGCGTCCTAACAATGGATTCATGGCATGGTGATGAGGTAAGAAGTCATTTCAAAAAGTAAAAGTTTTAAAATATACCTTATTAAAACAAACTTCCAAGTTTGGTCCGCTTTTTAAAATAGCCACAAATGCTTTGGAAATCACTCGCAATTAGAAGTTCATTCTAATCTTCCCATAACACCATTTTGCATCCTAAGGAGAAACTGATGAGATTTTTTCTCATTACCTCAGTTCTTTCCTTAGGCAACAGGCTTTCTATTTTCTTGATTACAAAAACACAGAAGGTACACTCAGGAGAGATCTGCACCTGCAAGGGACAAACCAGCAGTTAGTCTTCATGTGTCAGTGGTCCTGTCGTACTATTACTAGAAAACATTTTCTAATCTCTTACTTCTGGACTGGCATCTTTCTTTGAAATCCCACGGGCCACACCAGCAACGATGCTATTGGTCAGAATCTCCTGTTTGGCAGCCTCTGATTGGGTGCTGCACAAGCCCAGGGCTGCACACACTTGGCCAGGACTCTGAGGCCATCAGGAGAAAAAGCAGGTCAATTAATGGATTTAGCGAGGACATGCCTTATTCCCAGTAAACAGACCACTTATATGAAAAGTCCTCCACCATGCTTTTAACACAATGGGGATGGTTGGCCATTTTGGAGGGTGAGGACTCACCAGGACACGGGTCAGGAAGTGAACAGCCAGTGGCACGTTCTTGTCCACGTTATGCAGACAGAGGGATTTGGCATCATCCTCAGGGAGGGACTGGCACAGGGCTGCAAGGGCATCTTTCATGAGCTCCTAGGAGTGGAACACAGCATATGGCTCAGATCTGAATTGTTGAGATTGAGCCTCAGGCAAATGATACATCAGTTCATCTCAAATTTAACCAGTTAGTTAACTTGGTGAAAATTTTATATACACCACTGCTAAAAAAAATAATACTGTACTTATGGCTCATGGTAAACACCACAACGTCCATAGAGGGGTCGGCTCTGCTGTCAGAATCGCTTACGAGGGAAAACTGGTTCCAAAAACGGTTCTACTTAGTGTGGTTATATGGTTTGCAATTTGTAGTATCTGATATGAACCAATCTACTGCATTTTACGAATTATGCAAAGACACTATGCGTACAAGAAGTGGCAACGCAACCAATCTTTTTAACCACCTTAGATGTTAGCAGCCCAAACACGCGGAATGTCTGGCTATGCGTATATGCGCGAGCACATCACCTGCAGTCAGAGTGCCCTCTACACTTTCTGAAGTAACCATACACTTCTTACTCATGAAAAAAAACTCACTCATTTATTATTTCTTCTATTTATCCATTATTTTTATTTGCTGTAAACAGAGTTAAAAAATGTGCAGTTGCCAAAAGTGATAAATGTTTAGTTGTACATGAAACTTTTCATAGTATAAAAAATAAGAACTTTGAGTCAGTTTCTTTTATATGTACAGTATTAATTTTTTACATACATTTATTATAATGCTACAAGCAGTGTTTCTTGTAAGGACAGTACTACATACGTTTAAAAAAAAAAGTTAAAAATTGCTACCTTGGTGTATCGTGATTATAGTCAAAGGTATCGTGATATGACATGTTGGCCAAACACCCAGCCCCTATTTCCAAATCAGTTGCCATCCAGAGTCGTGCCCCCTCCCCTCAGCTTTCCTCTTCCCAGTAATGTTGCGTGATAAGTAAGGTAAAACACTTATGGGGAAAGTGTTTGCCATTGGGAGATTCTTCACAGTGCGAGTGGAAAGCAGATTTATTGTGTGCAAGATGTGAACAAAGTTGTCCGTGGAGGAAGTCGGCTCACCCCAAAAACATTCTGAACAACCAATTTAATTCGACAGTTGCAGAGTCACTTTTGTTTGAAAAGGTTATTTAAAATATTTTGCTTGCAGAAAGCGAAGTTCATTGATGAATTGTTAAGTAAATGTCTGCTAATAATAATAATAATTATAATAATAATAATAATAATAATACGAAGAAAATCTGAATTTTCCAGGACTGATATCTGCAGGTCTGGTTTAAAATAAGCATTCTGCAACTCAGGACCAGCCAGGGGGGGGGCAGTACACCTAGTGCCTTCATCCAAGAACCGAAATTGGATAGATTAATGTAACCAATGAACAGTAAATCCCTAAATTATAGGGATCGATTTTAATATTTATATATTATATTTATAGATTATATTAAATGTTTAGCTAAATGCTAATGAAAAAAATGCATGCCAAAAAAATCTTTAATTTGGCTAGTAAAATACACAACATACTGTTCCACCTTGTTTGTACATCTTGTTTTAAGCGTTTTTTGCGGCATTTGCAGTTCAATTTGAATATCGTCCAAGTGAGGATACGCAAGTGGCAAATGCTTAAAGTGCCCCACAATTTTTTCCCCACTGGCAACAGCGTCGCTTACACTTCATTGCGACAGCAGCCCCTCATGTATCACAAGCTGTAGTGAGTGTGCAAAACAGCCCAAGCTAGTGATTCCCAAATCATCCATTGCTTTTTTTCATATTATTCATTTTGTCTTGCACAATTGCATGCACTTTGTTTAGCGGGATTTTCCACTAACTGCTACTTCCACCATGCTACTTCCTTTGTTTTTACAAAGATTTAACAATAGCCAGTAGCATGGTGATTGGCAAAGTGTAAAAATATTTCCAGATCATCACCCTCTTATCTGATGCTCTCACATTTCTCCTGCTGCAAAGAGCATGACGTCACAGAAGGTGGAAGTCACTGTGCTCACACCCAGAGTGGCAAACAAACTAAGTAGCAGTGTTAGCGTTCAGCTTGCATGCAGCAAAAAACACATCTAAACCGGGAAAGAGCCGTCATGTGATTGATTGTACAAAACGATTTAAGAAATAGGATTTATGTTTTTACAGACTGCCGAACACTAAGTATTGTACATGGATAGGTCACATATCAAACGGATTGGGTATCGGCTATATGTATAGATAGGTGCTAATACCCATCTGAATATCGGTAATTGGTGCAGTTCTACTAAATTAACAATATCTATGCAACAAAAACCTAGGTAGTCCTAGGCAAACCTGGACACAGATAAATGACTGTCAGTGATCAACTGGGAATTGATTCTGTTACTGAACTATACAAATTTTAGTGTATTTTGTGTCTTCAATAGTGAGAGATTCAATCTGCACCAGATAATCTTCCATACTGAGCGCACCCTAGTGGTAAACAAATGCTGCCAGAAACAACATGCCCCTGAGTGCTGATTCTAAAGGGATCACTAGGACTAAAATGCCTTTTATTAATAAGGTACATTCTCATGTGGGGCTGATGAGGGATATAGTGGAGCTAGAAATCTTGACATCATAAACTCGTGACTTCCTCAGACACGTATGAAGAACACATTTCCGGCCCATTCAATGGCAGTTTCAAACCAAACAGAGAGCAGTGGCACAGCTGAAAGCTTATTGAGTGATGACACATTATTGAATGTTACCAAGACTGGAAAACGTCACTACAGAACTATACAGGCAACAAACTACAAAGTTTCTCCCAGTGACTCAGCACTATGTGCATGAAGACCTGATTGTTAGGAGCATGCAGCTGTTTGACAGTTCATTCTTGCCTCTTCATGACAAGAGGATGATGGGATCACAAGAGGCTCAGCACTGGGCAGGCCACAGACTGTAATCCACATTAGCAATCAGTACAAGCCCCTGGGATATGGTGGGCGGGCTCACCTGAGTGCCACTGCTGGGATGCATGTTGGTGAAGAACTCCAGGAGCTGGGTACAGTCATTGCAGCTGTTTTCGCTCTGCGTGGAAGGGGAACCAAAGTCCAGTCAGATGGCGGAAAGGGGAAAGCTCAGGACCACAGATGCTTCCCCATCACATGCATGTGGTAAGCAGCTGATCCAGGGTTTGAAATCAAAACATTTTGTAAAACTAGTACAGTAAAATCCCGTTATAACGGACTTCAAGGGACCTGGAAAAACAGTCAGTTATATCCAGAGTTGCTGTATGACTACTGGACACCATTTACTCATGCCACACCCCAGCAGACACACTTGTGGTACAGATTATTATATTGTACATGTAGTAATCCAACTTTACCTGTAACTAATCCTGACTACGTATCTGCGCTGGATATCACCGGCACACCACGTGCCTTTTAGTCTGCATGTCCGTTATAGCCGAACAAAACTACAGCTAAAAGCGCCCCTGGGGACCAAATTGTTTGTCCGTTATAAGCGAAATTCCATTATATGCGATATATCCAATGCTATTTCTGCATGTTGTTAAAGGCGCAAGGCCGGGACCAGCGGACCCTGTCCATTATAGACGATATTCCATTATAAGGGAGTCCACCATAATGGGATTTTACTGTACAGCTATAAAAACAGAACCGAAAGATTCAGAAACATTGCCTGAGAACTTCCTTTTCTGAAGCTCAGCCAAGCTGGGGCTGATTAAGTGATAGTGCCATGGTAACAAAATGCTCATCTTGGATGTCATGTGGATATGCAGACCAAGCCTACAATGGAAACTTTGTGGTGACCATTTTTAAATTTATATAAGCCAATGACAAGTGTCTAAGAGGTATTCAACCAAGGGTGGGTAGCATGAGCAGGATTTAGTGCTTTTACTTACTGCTGACAACCAAAACAGATGGAACAGACCACTTTGTGAGAGTGTATATGAACATCTGAGGACAGAAATGCTCTGGCAGACAAACTGTAGCACACACGCAAACCACTCATCTGCAAAACTAAACAAACAGTTACATGTCAGCATTTATGCTTCAAATATTGCTCAAATAGCTGACATGGACACCACAAGTATGAATACTCAATAATCATACTCATTCATACTCATTATCCATCCATTTTCCGTAACTGCTTATCCAGGACACGGTCACAGTCTATCAGAAGGCACACAACGGATATGACAGGGACCACCCCGCATGTGAGGCAGGACACCACGAGACACACACGCTTAACTGAACCATGTGTTTTCACACTGTGGGAAAAACCCAGACAAACATACAAAAGGCACATACACAGAGCTGGGAGTGGGTTTCGATCCTACAACCCTGGTGAAGATATGATACTATCTATAGTTTATACTTAACACACTTACTACTCACTCACTACCCTTTTAAAATGAAATATGCAACACTAATCAAAAGTGACTTACAGCCCTACCCCTTAATACAGCTGGATATTGTAGTGAGACATTCAAGTTAGCTCTTACACGCTCCGATAGTAATTGTGTTTCTATGAGAAATTACTGAACATGTGCCTTTGGGGTCAATTTGACCTCACGGTATGTTTTCCAAAGCAACCCTTCAGAAGACAAGCACGTATGGTGATGACTGGATAACAACAACCGCGTCCTGTGACTTTGGCTGGGCACCTTCACGGAAATGCTGTTACCAAGTCGGATAAAGTGAACATTAATTTCACAGGCACAAAGAAGCGCTGGCTGAACGGGTGCGCGGCGTTTTCAGCTCACCGACTGCAAACCGGCGCCATCGTGATCCGGCTGGGAAATAAACCTGGCCAGGCCTAAAAGGGGAAAGAGAAAAGGCACACATCACCTTTACAATCAGCACAGCACCACAAGCGGTCCCCATTTAATGCCAAAAATGATGCTCTTTTTGGGACAGAAGGAGGAGCAGCAGAGGAAACGTTTTAAATCGTGGGAAATGACGGCTCTTGTGCCTAATGCAGATTGTATTGTAGAGTAAAGTAAAATAAAATAAAAAATCCGGCCTCCTCTCCCCACCACCTACAATATTATGGCAGTGAACTGAGAGTAATGTTATTTTCCTGCAGCGTCTGTGTGACTTGTTTCGAAAAGCATTTACTTAATATACACATGCGGCGTTTAATAAGTGTCAGGCTTCATAAACACTCTGGTCATTAAACAAGGCAGTTAAAACGTATTGGCGTGTCTGACAAAATGGGTAAACAAAGCGTCTGAAAATTGCCATGAAGCACACATTGTTTGACCAGGAAGGGAATCTAAGAGATCGGGGAGTGTTTATTTCTCTTTGTAAAATGGCGTGAGCTACAAATCCCTGCCCAACACTCGGTAACATTACAAAAACATTAATATGGCGTCACACTAATCAGTCTCCTTATATACGCACACCGAGCAACGCCGCCTCTTTTTTTAAATTAACACAATGGTTAATTAAAACGAAACGACCACGTGTTAATATTACGATTTAATAATCGCATTAGAAAACAAGTAAATGTGATTTCTTTCACAACTCTTTTTCTGGCTGCTAAAAACAACAAACAAAAGCCGAACAATCGAAAGGTGTTTACCTCTAGTCACAGAAGCAAAAAATAGCAGGAATAAAACCTTCGAAACAGGCATAATCAGTTTCAGGAGCAGTATTAAAAAGCCAAATAAATTTTATTGTTAGTACTAGGAATCAGCTGCGTTTGCACGGTTTGGTTTACGGAAGAGCTCCAAAATCTGAGCCAATCGCCGATTAGAACCATCTGAGTGGGCAGGGCCAATGTATGGTTGGTTGTTTGGTTGTAATACGGTTTATCAATGTGTGATACGAGCTGCTTTTGTATGAGACAATGCACGCATAGGCATTTGCACTTACTCATATGTGCAATTACTGTGGAAATAACTAAACTATTTAAAATATGAATTAATGTTCTATCACTTATACTTGTTAGGGTCGCGGGTGGGGATTCATACACATACATTGGATGGTTTGCTGGGCGGTTGGGGGGGGTTACTGGGGGCTAGTGTGGCGCCTAGGACACCACATGGGCTTCGACAGTCCCGGGGCCGGTAGCATGGTGCCATCTGCTGGCTATTTTGAAATGTGATGTAAATGTGATCTAAGACGCTGGTGCAGAAGGCCTGACCTCTAGATATGCATTTTGCTGGAAATTCTGCTATAAATTTATAGCATCAGAACTGTTTCATGAGTAATTAAGAAGAACCTCTGATTGCCAGCTTAAAGTAGATCTGGACAAGCAGTTTAGATTTCCAGACCACGCACTCCAGTCAGACATGGTCATCACCTCCAAGGCCACCAAACAGCTGACAGAGTAATGGTTGGTGGGCTCAGTGTGAACTGATCAAGGTCGCCTCTAGGGGCTTTGCAGGCCAGCTGCTCTGAGGAGCTTTTACTCAATTGGGGATTACGGGGGCTGTGAAGAGAAGGGCTATAAGATATGTGACAGGTGATCCCTTGACCTCGAGTACATGTCTGTAACATGCCGGCCTTTTTTTCTACCAAGAGAGCTAACCGTAGTGATTGTAATGGCTGCGTACATTCCACCCGACGCCAATGTAAACATGGCGCTCTCTCTCCTGCTGTTCCTGAACGAACAGCAGTGGGCCCACCCTGACGGTGTTCACATAATTGCAGGAGACTAAGGAGAATAAGGTCAACTTGAAGACTATACTCCCGAAATTCTATTAACATGTTAAGTGTTCTACTAGAGGGGAGAACACTCTGGACCATGTTTACTCCAACATCAAGCATGCCTACAGAGCCAAACCCCTCCCCGAACTCGGCCAGTCAGACCACCTTTCTCTCCTGCTCTCCTCAGCCTACACCCCCCTCAGACGCAGGGCCAGGCCCACCACAAAGACTGCTACAACCTGGCCTGAAAATGCACTCTCCACACTACAGGACTGCTTTGAACAGACAGATTGGGACATATTTGAGTACCAAGAGCTGGAAACATTCACAGGAATGGTACTGGACTATATCAAGTTCTGCATCGGAAATGTGACTGTGGACAAAAACATACGGGTCTTCCCAAACCAGAAACCCTGGATGACTGGTCAGGTCCATACACTCCTCAGAGCCCGCAACGCTGCTTTCAGGTCAGGTGACAGAGCTCTGTACAGGGCTGCCCGCGCCGATCTGAAGAGTGGAATTAAAAAAGCCAAGATGGACCATAAGAAGAGTCCCACCTGTTCAGCCATAATACATGGGAGGTGTGGCAGGGAATACAAAACATCACAAACTACAGAGGCTGTGATGCAACGACAGGAGATCTGAGTGCGCCGCTAGCAGAGGAGCTAAACTGCTTCTTTGCTCGCTTTGAATCATCAAAACAGCAGCACTCACCTGCTCCAGCCCTGCTCCCCCCCCCACCGGGTTCCTGCACCACTCCACTCACTGTAAAGGAGCACGATGTCAGACGGGGGCTCCTGGCAGTGAACCCCAAGAAGGCTGCCGGCCCAGATGGAGTCCCTGGTAGGGTGCTCAGAGCGTGTGCCCACCAGCTCACCCTCATCTTCACCAAAATCTTCAAACTCTCCCTAGCCCAGACAGCCATTCCATCCTGCCTAAAATCAGCCACTATCATACCAGTACCGAAGAAGTCTCCCATCACTAGCCTAAACGACTATCGCCCTGTGGCCCTCACTCCGGTAATTATGAAGTGCTTTGAGAGACTGGTTCTCCAGCACATCAAGGACTATCTCCCCCAAGACTTTGATCCCTGCCAGTTCGCATATCATGCGAACAGATCCACAGAAGATGCCATCGCCGTAGCTCTCCACTCTGCGCTGAGCCATCTGGAGCGGCAGCAGAGCTACGTCCGGATGCTCTTTGTGGATTACAGCTCGGAGTTTAATACAATCATCCCTGACATTCTCATCACCAAACTGGTCACTCTTGGCTGTAGTCCGGCCCACAGCAACAACCTCATAGTCAAGTTTGCTGACGATATCATATATTATATGTTCGAGGCGCTTGATTCCTTTATTATGCCAAGCAAGGAAGTTTATAATTTTTTTATTTACCAGGATGTCAGCGTTGTTCCAGATGGGTGTCAGTTTGTATGGGACCATGATATCATTTGACAAAATAGCAGAAACTTATAACATTGAGAAAAATAAATACTTAGAATATCTTCAACTTAAATCAATTAGCAATTAAGCAATTAGCAATTAGATCTGGAGCTTTCACCTAAAAAAGCAAACTTCTTAATAACTCCAACTAAAAAACTACTGTCTAGGATTTACGTGCATCTAGCAGAATCTGATACAACACTCTCACTCCCTACCCACAAATGGGAAAAGGATTTACTCATCAATCCAGACACTAACTTCTGGAGGCAAATTTGCTTGAATACCTTTCGAATGAATCAGAACTCCAACCTGCAGCTATTACAGTACAA